TCTTTCCCTGAAGTTGAAGCTCGGACTTGGATGATCCAGGACAGTAGTGGTTGAGTGACTGTATGAAAGTCCCAGAGGGAGCTGGAACAAGGGTCTTTGGGCTGGGCTGCCAAGCTCATATCTCTCCTCTCCCATAAACATTGCAGCACGCTGATGTCTGTAAAAGGTCCTGAATGACATCTGGGAGTGCAGGAACACTGTGATTAATCGCCAAGTTAATTCTCATGGAAATCACCCCGGGCCGGTGCAAAACGAGAGGAGGAGGAGCTGGAAAAGCGTGTGAAACAAACTCTGGCCAAATGCACAAAGATGATTGCTCACGGGGGGATTTTTATGGTATCAGAGAGGGGACTGTGCTCAGTACAATGGGCTCCCTCTCATGCCAGTGCTTAACTCCATATTTCAAATCTATAGCTTATAAATTGGTCAGCTGAGATTGTTATGGTATAATAGCTTGCATACAGCTTGTTAAAATGACGTAATGAAGCGCAAGTCATAAAAATCATAGAAATATAAAGATTATCTTAAATTCAAATGCAACTGAAATTCAAAATATAAGGTCTCCCAGAGGATGTTGATTGTGGCAGATTGTGAAACATGGGTTAATGACAAAAGTGTCAAGCTCAGGGATAAGGTTTAGGTGGTAAATGCAGGATTATACTTGATTTAATGGGATGTTTGGTAGTGAATCGTTGGGTCTGATTTCCCACAGGAACAGCCTTCTATCTGTTGCAAATGCTGTGCATGTTCCGGCTTAGGTAAATCATCCAGGGGATCATTCAACTAAACAGTCCTCAGTGATAAACGACAGCTTTGGGAAGATACGGACACATGTGCATTCTTGGGAGAAAAAAAAAAAAAAAGAATGGTGTGCTGTACTTTTGAGAAACGCCGGCGTTCACAACTCAGCCGCTTCATAACAAAGGCCTCGGAAGTTGAGGCTGACGCCCACAAAAATGAATGAAGGTTCAATAGCACTGTGGGTGTTTGTCAGCGGCAGAACGTTATAGCGCTTGGCATAAATGCTTTCCCTAAGCCATACGTCTACTCCGGCATGGGTGGGGGGGTGGGGGGGGTCGCAGGTACTGGAGAAATTTGCCCGAGTGAGGAATTGATTTTGTCTGACCCAAGAGAGTACTTCATTTCTTCGGTCACGGCAAGCGGAAGGGTTACGAGAGACGTGTGGTGCTAAGAGCAGAGCAAAGGCAGCCATGAAAAAAATTCCTTAATGTTTGGAAAAATCCAAAATTTTTGTAATTAATCACTCATCGGCTGGAGCACCTTAAGACAACTTATCAAAATCAAAGCTGCATAGGTGCAGGATTGGAGGAGATTGCTTGATTGGTAGATTTACAACAAAAGGAGCTTTTGACTCTTAAAGGAACAAACTTGTCTCCTACAATGCACATAAATGAATATTCCTTCCTTTAACAATACGCCCACTGGGCCAGTGTTAAATCTAGTGGTCAGCCATTTTTGTAAAATCTTTCCAATTCACTTGGGATACATCTGGTCTCATATAGAACAACTTGACATGGTCTATATTTTCTATTTGTTTAACTTTTTTTGTTGTAAATCATTTTTTAAACAAAGCCCACAGCTCCTAAAAACAAGCTGCCTGAATGAAATCACATAAGCCATAAAACAGATTAGAGTTCTTCTGAGTTGATCCATTTGTATTTTTCCTTTGCTTTTCTTCTTTTAAATCAAATTTCATCCTTCAAAGGTTTTTATTTTCATTCTGTTGGTTTTGCAACAAAATGTTTGAGCTTTATATAAGAAAGCTACACAGATTTTAGGAACAATTGGCAACACTAAAACGCACGGGGAGTCTAGACTTCATTATAAAAAGTCTATAGGGATCATTTGGAGCCAGATTAAAACCACATTGCCTGGTTGATGTGAAACATTGACATGTTTGAATCCCAACAATGTTTACCAAACAGCTGCGTCACCCCTGACTTCTGTTAAAAATAAGGCCAAGAAGACAAACTGAAACAAAACGTAATCCTGCCAGATGCATGCATTTTAACCTCTATATATGAAGATATTCTCACTGAGGTTTAAACACTTGTTTTCAATACAGTCATGCTTTGAGAAAACAAGGAAAACAATAAATAAAACAAATATCACAAAAACTATACAAGTAACTACAACATTCCACTTATGAAAATAAGCTTAGATACAGAAAGTTACAGAACAATTTTCTTTTTCTCAAAAGAAATTTAGATTTTCTCAGAGGAATTAAAGTGAACCTGCTGTGGATTATTCCACTCAGATGGGTGTAAAAACAGTTTCTCTAAATTCTGACGTACTAATGGACTTTGCCAACTGAGTGATAGGTATGGGAAAAAATCAAACAGGAAAAGTCCAAGGATAGCTTTATAGATGAAAATATACCAATGGATAAGTTTGTGGATTTATATAAATCCAGAGACTATACATTTCAGTAGTGAGTATAAGATTTAGAAGCTATTATGAACCGTATTGCTCCATGATAGACTGCATCCAACAAACTTTTAACATCAATTTTTATGTTTGGGCTTATATATTTCAATGAAAGAAAGTGGAACTTTCTTCTGGTTATCAAATAGCATGGCCTTCTTCTTAACCCTTTAACTGCCTTGTCGATATCGAAACTGCAATTTAGCAGTGGTTAACTCTGTGGTTACTGCAGACAGCTAAGCACAGCATTGACTGCTTTTGCATGGTAGTAAATTACAGTATCATAATAATAATAATAATAATAATAATACATTTTATTTGAAAGCGCCTTATCACAACACCCAAGGACACTGTACAGGCAGATAAAAACATTAAAAACAGGGAGCTAAAAAGTACAAGCATAAGATGCCACAGAAAACAAAACAGCAGGAAGTAAAATAAAACCAAAGGAAGAAAAGGAAGAGAACAATATTGAAGTGATGCGTAGGAACTAGATGGGATAGGACTGTCTGAACAGGAAAGTTTTGAGTCTGGATTTGAAAAGAGGGAAGGAGTCCAGAGTACGGAGATCCGGAGGGAGGGAGTTCCAGAGGTGGGGAGCAGAGCGACTAAATGCCCGGTTCCCCATTGTGACCAGACGGGCCGAGGGAACGGAGAGCTGGAAGGAGTGGGAGGATCTTAGGGAGCGGATGGGGGTTTTAACGTGAAGGAGATCTGAGATGTAAGATGGAGCCAAGCTGTGGAGGGCCTTCATGGCCATAAATATATGTCTAACCATTAATAATATTTTTATCTAAACATCTAAACACTGTTTACAGAAATACAAAAAAAAATGTGAACCTAAAATGGAGCCCTGTGGCACCCCCGTTTCCAATGCTTAGGTGCTGTGATTACCGGCCGCTGTGTTTTATATAAAGCCTGCAATGTGACAGATAATTAGAAATAAAAAACAACTTACAGCATAATAATAATAATAATAATAATAATAATAATAATAATAATAATAATAATAATAATAATAATAATAATAATAATAATAATAATAATAATAATAATAATAATAATAATAAAACATTTTATTTAGCAGCGCCTTTCTTGACACTCAAGGTCACTTTACAAATAATACAAAAGATAAATAAAAAGAGAGATGAGAATACAAAATACATATACAGGAACATAAAAAACAATCATGGATAGGGAAAAGAGCAGTGTATCATTATTTGATAAACCAGCTTTTGACCAATATTATTTAAACTGATAAATTAGTAGTTTTAAAAGTTTGGGAGTGTGGTGTTAATTGCTGTGCACACCAAAGGTCAACACCTTTTAATAGAGGAAAAACTAAGGAAGCTCTTCACATATCAGAGCTGACGATTTCGAAAGAGAGAACAAAAATATAAGAGTCTAGTTCAGCTATAATGTCTACAACAAAATGTTAAAGATAAATTGAAAAGTTGTCGGTTCCTTACGGACAAATCCATCTAAAAAAGTATGTAGATCGATTCATGGCGAGAGATTGACCATCAGAGAAGACATCAAACAAGGATCCAAAGGTGAGATATATGTTCAAATAATTAAGAATCTCTTGCTTATCTATGCAAAGAGGAGTTTAAGGTATTGATAGCAACTTAGTGTTCATTGATTGCCAAAATGTCCTTTGTTTTTCTAAATATTCTGAGCTAAATAATGATCTTGTACCAGGGGTCTTTAAAATTCTAGAGAGCCACATTTGCACCTGCTCCTGCTAAATAACTTCAGTCTGGAGGCATATGTAGAAAAAAGGGAGTCTGCAACAACAACACAACTAAAGTTTTGGTCCCACACTACATCATAGAGTGTTTGAGGGAAATTTAAAGACATAAACCTTAAGCTTAAAATTATTATTTTCTGTTATTCTCTTCTATTAATGGAACAAGTATGAAAAACATGTTTGAGCCATAATAACAAACACAGAAGGGTTAAAAAGGGCTGTTCCAATGATGTCTCAATCTATATTTTCAGTCCAGAAAACTTGCTTCAAAAACAACAACAATAAAATAGCAACACAATCTACATTCTTTATCCTTTATATTCACCAAACATGGCTCATTACTGAACAATAAAAAAGAAACAAATTAAAGTACCTGTGAAGGATCCAAGGAGCCACTTTTGGGTCTAGAAACACTTTTGTAGACCCCTATTATATATCATTACTAATCTAAGATATGGTTACAGTTGATAGAAGTAACATTTGCTTATTTTGTGGAGGGAGAGTATCCTTCCAGATGGAAAAAAAACAACTAATAATAATAACTAATGATAAAACTAAAAATAATTGCACATTTATTACAATAAGTGTATTTTCCCTAATTCTAAGCAAGTAAATAAGGTGATCTATTTTTTGTACTTGAAATAAGATAACAGAGTAGTTTTTTACTCATATTAAAAGTAAATAGTCTTAAATTTAATTGGAAATTATTATACTTAAGTGCCCAAATCATGGGAAATAGACTTACTTAAAAAAAAAAAAGGAAAGAAATTACTTCTATTTAGTTTTTTTGCAGAAAAAACAGAATGTCCTGAAGAGATTGTTGGTATCAACACAGCTTTAAAAAACAATATCCGTCAAAATGTTCCTGTCTGCTTAAATACACACCATCTAGAGGTATTTTGGTTTCTTCAGTGGTAACCTCACATTCTTTGGAGTCAGCAGGTCCAAATGTGAGAAAGAAACATGGTCTGCTAGAAACAGAGAGCAAATATATGACTTCAAAAAATATTAAAAACAGACATTTTCTGTTTTTAGAAATATTAATCCATATCACATTTGAATAAGTTAGTCCGAAAGATTTAAGAATATGGCTTTGAAATAGAAAATGACAACAGTTCAGTAGAAATTAGGGGTTTAAGTTCATGTAACTGAAAAGTGATCCTGAACTGCCTGATTCTTATGACATCATTGGAACAGAGTCCTACAGAGCATTTATATCCCTTTCTTTTTCTTTCTTGCACTCTTTTTGAATGGAAACCTATACGTCATTACCATCCGCAGTCTACATTTGTTAGTTCATAAAAAAGAAATACCCACCGGATTGCTTCTTTAATTGTCAATCCCCTTTCTTTTTGTCTAACATTCGTTTCAACAGGCCATTGGTTTTGATTTCACACGATTATGGCAGATGATGGTACAATCCTCCCCATATAATTGAATACCTCTGCTCTTACTCCATCAAAACACAGTGATACGGATGGAGCGAACGCGCCGGCTGTCACCGTTTCTGTCCACCTCAGCAGAAGCGGCTGGTTTTATAGGGCTGGTAAGGAGCGGAAAATGTGAATAAGCGATTTTGGAAAGCCTGACTCCCCTCTGCAGTGCTAATTTAGTGTGAGAGCTAAGTGGCTCATTTTTATGTGAACACCATTGTGTTCCCTAACTGTGCAGCAAACAATTGCTGTTCCAAGGCATAGAAGGACACAAAGTGAACAATGGAACAATGAGGGCCTTTTTTCCCTCTCTTGCTGCCTGGAAGGAAAAAAAAAGAGATTTTCACAAAAACAAAAAAAAAACAAAAACAGAGCTGTGTAATTGTTTTCTGAGGCTGCGATTTGGATATATTAAGTGCTGCTTATGTTATATTTAGGATAATGTTATGCCCAAAGGGAAGTATAATATGTCTATATAACAATGGCTCATGTTTGTATAATGTGTGCACAGCAGGTATCAGGCCGTGCTGCCTGGTGTTGATGTTTACAGAGATCAGCGATTGGGTGTTAAAGCCATCTCAGGCCTTTGCTCTCCCCACAACCATGAGCTTTGGCGCTAAGCAGCCTTACCTGACACTGTCTATTAGTGGGAGTGGACACGAGTCAATGCCACACTGCACACATGGACAGGACGCGCTCTCCCTCACTCATTGCTGCACTCTGTCTCTGCTTGCACAGCTCAGCTTTCTCGTTCTGTCTCCCCGCTTTTTTTTGCATGTCTCTTCTTTTTCCTTTTTACAGAAAGCAACGGTATCTTGGGCGTGCGCCGCACAGCTCATTCTGAGGCATGTCATCAATCAAAATGATCATATCAGGTTTGCACACAAAGCTGAATTCATTGTGAGGAGCGATCATACAGGAGATTTCGTCCTCTCTCCTGCTCAGTTTGGTTACATATTATCAGCCACTGTTTAAAACTTTGTTTCACTCTCAGCCTTTCACAGCAAAAATCATGTCAGGACCTATTTCCCCCAGTGCCGCTTGTGAAGGCCTACATCTGTTTGTGATACACAGTGTAACACAGCACCTCACCCACACACTAAAGTAACAGATTCACAGCACGACGAAGAACTGACACTGTGCACTTTCCCCAGAAGGTTGCGCTCTTAACGACTACAACCCCACCACCGTGAGTGCAAGCAGCAACGACCCCCTCCTTTCCCCTCCTTTTCAGCACCTCACCCTGCTTACATGGACAGCCCATAATAGCAGACATGAATCTGTGTCTCCCCTTGCTCCAAACAGATGCTGGCTGTCCATAAATCACATGCCTCCATTTTGTTGAGGAGAACAAAAAGCGTTGTTTCTGTGGGCCTGGTAATAATCCCCGTGCCCCATGTTGTGTTTTGTCTCTGGACGGGCTCTCGTCTCCGCTCTCCTCTGTCACACTCTGGCTTCTCCACATGCATTACAATAGAGGCAGCCAGGTGATGAATATTTCTGTCTCGCCTGCCGTTAAGATTTCATTAATCACCTCAAGACTTGAGTGCAAAGCTGTGTACCTGGCTGGCCAGCAGGCTGCGGGGCCCTCCCCCCGTGCTACCTCCTGGGGACGATGAGCAGCCATGTTGCGTTATGTTGTGGCAGGCCTTATTTGTTGGATTTGTTTCTCTTCTCTCTTCCTGTTTGTGTGGTTCCAAGAAACCTTGCTCCTCCCAAAAGGATGGTTTTGCTGAAAGAAGTAAAAAGTTAAGCCATTACAGTCCAACAGCAAAAAATAACTACGGCATGTCAGCAGCTGCCTTTTATGGTAAAGTAGTTGATCAATATTAACTGACTCAACGATTATTCGGCCAGGTGCAGAAATGTGTATCACCCCAATGCCTGCAAACACAACATTAGAGTATGAACTTCAGTGCTACAAAGTGAGATAAGATAATAAAATACCCTCAAAAGTTCTGCATGACCAGCAAATATAGTTAGAAACAACACAGTCATCAGCGTAAAAACTTTACATTTAATGAAATATCTTAACAGAGACTTTTCTTTAATTGTGTTATGTAAAAAACTAATGTTTTATACAAAAAACGTACACCCTTTAAAGCTGCATATTTGTAAACGAATATGAAATAAACTTTTTTCTGCTGTTTTTAGCTTTGCCCTTACGTGTTTGCAAGTATTATCCTAGCTTCAGTTAATTATGCTCTGTACTTTGATTGGACCTTTCTAAAAAATGTGTATGCTTCTATAAAATCATTCAACCCTTTAACTGTAGCTCAGTCTGCATGTTTTTGTCCTCTGGGTGGGTTAACCTCTGTCGACATTTCCAAGATTTCTCCGCAGCATCCTTTTCCAAATTTGTTGTTGCACACTTAAACCTGTACTTATTTTTGTTGCTTTCTTCTAAAATGTGCTTTTTTCTTACAACTCTCCCCCCAAAGAAAAATTTGTACTTCAGTTGTTCTGTGAGGTTCCTCGAGAGCTACTTAGCTGTCATTTCTTAGTGGGTTTGCAAATGTGTCATACCTATAAAATGCAGAAGGAGCATGTTCTGTAAGATATTAAAAGCTTGGGGCAATGTTTGATAACTTAACTCTAAATTTCTCCTCAACTACAGCATATTCCTGACCTGTCTGCTGTGCCCCTCTGTCTTAATGATTGTGTATTTTCATTCTTGTTCTCTAGCAAACCTGCTTCACAGAACAGCTGGATTTGCTAATGAATTGCAGAGACTTCATTAACTTGGGGACATCTTAGACATCTACAGATATATATTGGACACTTTTTTATGATTTATATGTACCCTTTAAATGCAAAGTCGCATGAAGGAATTTACTTTTGCGCGTACTCTTTGACTTTTAATGCTTATACCATACGCCATAGTTTATGTGGTTCATTCACAGTTTAACCTGACCAAAACCTTCCCCAGCTTTTGACTCCAGGTACAACGCACACAACTATTTCCTTGCTCATCTTTTCTTTGCTGTGCTCCTCTCCTTCTGTTTTTCTTCTTTTACAGCACGGGTGAGGCGGTAACAGATGGAGAGACAGAGTGAGGGGATGATGAGGACGTAAAATGTGCAACGTTTACTCATTCGCTTCTTTATTGTCTTTCGCTGCAGGAGCCGGAGTTCCGGAGTGAGCGGAAAACAAACTGGTGGGTACAAGGTCAAGGGCCTCCCGAGCCTCATTCACTAACCAATCGGCCTTGATAGGAACCACCAGCTGCCAAGGATTCACTCACTCCCTCTCTTTATCTTCTTTCTCTATCTACCCTTGCCTTCCCACCTGTTCCCTCACTGTCACTCAATTTTTACACTCTTCTTGCTATTTACTCACTGGCCTCCCCCTCTCCCCTCTTCTTCCTGTCTGTAATGCCTAGCAGTGATGGATAGACACGTGCTGGCGCACAGAGGAACCTATTTGGACTGACATGTCAGCCCATCTTTATCAAATGTTGCAGAGGTATATTCTCTTGCTATGCTTCATTACTCTGGAATGGCGGGCCCTGAAATGTTTGACTGCTCTGTCTTCTCTCTTCAGAAGCCCGCTCCACTGCTTCCTTCCCTCCACCCCCCTCCTTTCTCCAATTTAGCCGCTGTGAGCTGTAGGATTGGAACTCTGGAGTGAGTGTAAGCATTGCTGTCCCCTCTTCGCTGGTTGGCCGAAAGGAACACAGCAATGCTTCGGGGGGTAGATATCGATTCCTGCTGCATGGTTGGGGCACTAACGAAATCCCTCCCCTGCTAACTCCCATCTCATGACAACCAGCTGGGAAGCTGAGCAGCCATTGGACGAGCCTAAGCAGTGCCTCTGCCAATCAAAGCACCACTGATGGCCCCTGTTTGAACATGACCTCAGGATGACATCACTAGAAAGGCATTAAAGTAATAAAAGGCTTGCTAGTACAATACAGTAAAGGGCAGGGCAACATAAAGCTTCATCCATCAGAGCATATACAGAATTCAAATAGAGGCTTTTCACTCTTAGTTGAACGAGAGGTCATCCCTCCCAGAGCGTTGTCTCCTGAAAAAACTTCCCTCCCTCAGTCTATCAGTTCTGTCGTAATGTTTCTAGTATATCTGCACTGCACACCTTGTCAGGAAAATGGGGACAGGCTGTGTGTGTGGGGATGGAGGTATATTACCACCTAGGAAGTGGGGATCAATAGTAAATCCTCTTGAGCTGTAGGTATTTCTCCTGAGATGTGGCGACTCTGAGTCAAATCAATGAAAAGCACACTGAGCTTCTTGAGCTTGATGGAAGTTTGGACTGATGGGAATCCATCCTGAGATGAGTTATAGCACCTATCAAAAAGGAGAGAGGGACCACCGTCCTAAATCAAAACCGTTCAAACTTTAGGTGGAGTTTTACAGCGGAAATGTGTCCCTGCAGGTCAACAGTAGATCAATTAGAGCCGATCCATGAGGTCATCCTGATATCACCACATATATTTTGACTTTACCAGATGGAATGTATTTTTAGAGAGTCTTCTATATTACCCAGAATATTTATTCTCTATTTCACTGAAAACTTTTTAAAACTGTCCATGATGAGTGTGTAGGAGGAAATGTCTGTGTTTGACATTAAAAATTATGACTAAATATCTTTTCACGGACAAAACATTTGATAACTCAGGTAATAAAAATTCTCAAAACAGGTGTAGCTTTGACATATTTACCACAAAGAGAAAAGAGAGCTTAAGTTAGGATTATAAACTGGTTTCCTGTAAAGTCAAAATGTTAAGTCTCAGACTTTAGATTAAAAACTCACTTGTGCCCTACAGGTTTTAGACTGGATTTGAACTCCACGTCTGACACTCAATTTTTAGAAACAGTTTTTCTTATTATCATAGAGAGGGGAAGAAACACCTCAAAATTGGAGATTTGCAAAATACAAAACAATTTTTAAAAAGATTTTATGAAAATGAATATACATTTTTTTATCCCTTTTTAATGTGTTTATTGAGACCAAAGGACAATGTATAGTTTTGAATTCTTGGCCACAGCTATTCAGACTCAGAGCTGCTACATATGTTATGGATTTGATCAAATAATGCTTATTTGAGACATAACAGACTTGAGACCATACTTGGACTTGGCCCTCAATGACTCGGCACTGGGACTTGAATATGCTTCTTAAAAACTGTAGACTTACTTGGATTTGGGAAACATATCTAGTGTTTTGCAGCAAGAACTCTTCAACATTTCTCAGCTTTTCCAATGTGAAACAGAGTGCAAATCAATTTGAAGTCACGGGTTGTAATAATTACTTACTTTTATTAAAGCCTGAACAAGCATCTGAAAGGATGATGAAACACATGGAGCTGAGAACCTTGCTTCTTTGAAACATAAATTAGCTAATGATATATAATCCTGGCAGTTTATTGAAAAATAATCATAATACCTTTGATTTGTCATTGCAATTCTTCACTAAAACACAATTTTTGCACTGGATTTAATCCATCATCAGATTTGAAATGGTGATCTTGCAAGCTTTACAGAATGCAGATGTAAAGCTTGCTACCACTGTTATATTTTTTCATCACACAAAGGCTGTAAGAATATTACTGTACAACTTTATCTGTTTAAAACCCTAAAAAATAACTTTGATGAGATTCTTCACGCTCAGAATCAAACAGATTAACTTTGTCCTTCATCTAATTATGAATGAATATTTCCACTGAATGTATTTGTATATTTGAATGAAATCGCTGTAAAACAGAAGTATTATTCATTAGTGGTTTCAGGTGTTGTGTTTGCAAATGAAATGATCAATTCTTGATCTCGTCTTTTGTTATCGAGGACCAGGCCACAGGGGCAGCAGTTTCAGCAGAGCCCCCCAGATTTCCCTCTCCCCAAACATTATCTACAGCTCCTCTGGGGAAAGACTGTAGCGTTCTGGAGCCAGTCAAGAAACATAGTCCTTTCTGTGTGTCCTTGGGTATTTCCTGAGCTTTCTATTGGTGGTATGTGCCTGAAACACCTCCAGGGAGGTGTCTACAGGACATCTGAAAAGATGTCCAAGCCACTTCAGCTGACTCCTCTTGATGCAGAGAAGTTACTCTACACCGGATCTCTTGCGGATGACCAAACTCACCACCCGATTTTTTTCAGCCACCCTGCAGAGAAAGCTTTTTCAGCCTCTTGTATCAGGGATCTCATTCTTTCTGTCATTATCTAGATTTTATGATCGTAGGCGTGGGTAGGAATGTAGACTGACCATAAAATTTGAGAACTTTGCCTTACTTCAGCACCATGGCTTCTGGGTTAGGCACTTCAGAGACTGGGCCTATTTGGGGGTTGGCCTTGTATTTCCCTTTTAGGTTGGGCCCTGGGTTCTCTTGTCTGCCCTTCTTTGGTGGGTGTGGCTATCCTTATTTCTGGCCTCCTTGTGTCCCAGTGATCTGGGTTGCCTTTGGATATCTGGGGCTCACGTAGATTCTTTATTGATCCTGGGCCCTACAGGGCTGGTCTGAGGTCACCCACACTTGCTAATGAGCATATTTTCCATCTGAAAATGATTTATAAATCCTTTCTAAATGAGCATTCCCATACATTCAACCCACAGAAGTTTGTTTCCAGGCATTAATGGATGCACAATAATGCTAAATACTAAGCTGAAGCTACAGATATATAACACAGCATTTGTCTAATACAGGTGCAGAAGCAGACTTCTAGGAGCTATTGTTTATTTTCTGCTTTTCTGTTTGGTTGGTTGGTTCTAACCCTTTTTCCTATGGCTCTCATTCCTTAACTCTTATCCCATTTTACTTTCCTACAGTACCTCCGTTTCAGTCTCTGTTGAATGTGTTTTTTTTTTTCCTAAATCAATTTAGGGAAAGGTAAGCAAATTTTTTAAGGCTATTGTCTAGTTTTTGGAAATCAATTCCCACAGCTATGTTGGAAAAATAGCACAACCCCCCCAAAACTCTCCATTACAACAACAGTGGTGCAGTGCTAGCTTTATGGCTGTGGCTGCACCAATCTGTCTAACTATGCAAGATGTTTCCAAATCAGAACATCTCTGGCCTTTGACCCCAGAAATCTATCCAGCAATGGTTAGGAACAAGACTGTTAACAGAGGTCCACCCTAGCTAACAATAAAATGGACAACTTAATGCAGGATTAATTTGGAAATGTTATTGTTAACAGAAAATATTAATTGTCAACTGTTTCAAAGAGTGAAAAACAACTTATATCAAATGCAAATAACATCATCTCTCTACCAAGAACATTTTCTGGTATAGATATGTAACCTGGTAATCATACTTTGGTCCTTGATCCGGTGGTAAAAAGGATCCCTAGTTCTGAATAGCGTTTTGTTAGTCTGGAAAAATGTGTTTACAATGAAAAGACAACAAAATAAAAATATTTGATTTCTTTATAGTAAACATCCTGGTGACTGATGTCACAGGGTCTGAAGGTAAGATAACAGTGGGGATTAGCCCCATATTGTGCTATTAAAAATAGCACAGAACTTTATTTTTAATTCTTGGATAGAGGTGAGAATATTTACAATATTAGCCCCATGTTATACCTTTTTAAAATCTTTTTCAATTAAATAGGGATTTACAGTGAAACTAAATAACTACTTAAAAAAAAAAAAAACAAGAAATGTATATGTGAGTTTTATTTGTTTTAAACCAAAGCATGTCTCCTATCTAGGTATATGAGTGGAAGTTGTTTCAGAAATTGCCTCAATGAGCATTAACCAGGTTGGAGCCAAACTAGAAGTTCAGGCAGTTCAGCTGCCAGATTTGTTGCAGTCATACTGAAGCCACTACCCCCACAATCCGTCATTCAGGCCTGGCTGGCCTTTTCACAAACAACCGTTTGGCTCCATAATCCATGACAGGAGATGGAGGCAGTATGGGATCAAAGGCAAGGCAGGAGACCCTAAAGAAGCCATAACTCTGGTGTTTAATTGTGTTTCAAGTAAATGCCACAGCCCCCCCCCACCCAGACGTCTGGGGATCATCTGCCCTTAATACGGGTTATTGTCATTCTATCAAACAAAATCACATCTGAACCAAAATATTTGGATTCACTCCATGCTGAACACTAAATTAGGGAATAAATGTAAACTGGGGAGCTGCTTTATGACATGCACAATAAACATACTGTAAAGTAGATTGCCATCGGTACATTTCTTTAAAAAGCTGCAGAGAAATGTCTGCTGGATGTTGAAGGCAGAAGTCGGCTTGCTGTAAAATTGCTTTCTAACTAGAGTGAAACAGAGTGGCTCTTGTGTCTGTGATAATTAGGGCCGTACTCTGTTTTGCATAATCGCCTAGAAAGATTAAAAAGGAATTCAGATGAAGCATTACCAAAACAGTGATAACGGCACAGGAGGACGTTATCAATATATCTGTTTCAAAACCAGGATTTTTATTTTTTTGTCATATTTTGACAACCTCTATAGCGCATTTAACCTTCAGTGTCTGTTTCTCAAATGAAATTGCACCGTGAAGAAAAAAGGGAAAGAAATACTCATATTACCGTGAAAAACGATGGCTTTTCTCTGGAACAATAAGCAGTCCTTGAACTTCACGTCATTAAAGTGAACGCCATCATTTCCTTTCATTAAGATGACTGTGTGCAGACACATATTGCAGTTGGAAGGCGAAGCTGCGGCAGGAGACTCATTTAAAAACCGCCCTAATCTGGAAAATGATCCTAATGTTTCTCAAATGTTATATCCTCCCCAACCTTTTTGTGTGCAAGATGCTTTTAGAGAGCTGTAAGTTTTCCAGGCGTTTAAGCAAATTGCTCCTTTGAAAAAAGAAAAGAGAAAAGAATAAAATATAAAATGCACCCTGAGTGCTGCTTTTTCTGTTTTCACATATATTGCCAATATTTCTGACAATAAATACTGAAAAACTGGATAAAATTCATATCGTTTTTCCCCTTCCTTGGTAGATTATGGGCATTTCATGCAAAAGAGGGCCTCTCGTAAACTGTGAGTTTCTGCTACTGCTGCTTCTTTGTTGGTGTCAAAGTTTAGAAATAGCCATGCCCTGTTTTGCTCATTTGACTCAACGGGTGTGAACAGTCCCTCATATCCCTGTCTTGTCTATAAGAAATGAAATGACTTTAAGACTGCACAGCGTTGCCACAGGCAGGTTGGCTGAAAGGCTATTTCGGGAGAAATGGACATGGACATAAATATCCTCGCGGGGTGCATTGTAATAAAAAAAATGAAGAAACACAATGTTATGAAATGCAGTGAAACATAAAGAGGAGAAGAGGCAGGGGTGTGTAGGGGGTGGTGGTGGAGGGCAAATATCCATCAAATTAACACATCAGTGGCTTTGATTGTAATCTCTGGGCCCTGGCTCTCGCTCTGCCACGCCAGACAAGCAGCCAAACGTGATTTATCAATGCAAAGCTAATGGCATCAATATGAATCTAACTAAAAATCAATATTTCATTACCAAATTGTTAGCGAGAATGAAGAAAAATGGCCGCGGCCGGAGCGCTCTCCAGGGTAGGAGCATCTGGAGTTCAATGTGACAAGATGAGCGATGCATGACTCGGGGCTCGAGGAAGGACACGGCGAGGACAGGACTCAGTCTGGGCACACTTTGAACTCTATCTCTCTCCGTCTTCTCTGCCTCCTTCTTCCCCTCCTCCTCATTTTCAGACAACTCTGACAACGTTCCTCTACACCCCACCACCACCACTTCCCTACACTTTATTATGTTTTTTCCGTTCACTTCCTCTCCCTCTTTTCCTCCTTTCATATCTTTATCACACTGTTTCCTCTATCAATCTCCGCCTCGTGTGTCAGCGAGGGTGTCGGCGGAGGACCACACAGTGTTTCGCATTCCTCCTCAATTAATTACCAACTCGAACATGGAGACTCTCAATCTCTCCCACCTCTCCCGCTCACGCACACAGAGACACACATACACGCATGAAGCCCATTTCAATTATTTTTTGCCTCCTTTGAAGACAAGTTAGCATTTTTTTATCTATTCCCCTTCCCCTTCAGTCTATCCCTACCTCACTCCCTCCCAGTGGATATATCTCCCAAGGCTCATCACACGTTCCCCTAACCAGCGCTGCTTGGCTTCCCCTGTAATGAGTGTGAGAGAAAGAGAATGTAAGAAATAAAAGAGAGGGAGGTAGGGTTGATGGCTAAAAAGCCTAGATCCCGCCTCTCTCAGATGTGACCTTCACTTTATTTATATTCTAGTCTTAAGTAACGAGTATTTATTGGTAGGGCCCGTGATTGTAGAGCTCTGTCAGGTAAGTAATGATGCACCTTTGTGCTTGTGCAGCAACCCTGGGCGCAATTAAAAACAAACACCCTTTTTTTGTTCCCCTTTCCATCATTCTCCAATCAGCAGTGGCGGTTCTTGCATCAGGGATACCCTGGGCGAGGCCTTTCTTCAGCTTACCTCAAAGTAGCAATTTCTTTCACTGTAACTCACTAAAAAAAGTGGAGCCCTTCAACTTTCTTCTTGTGGATTGCAGTAAATTCATTTTATTAGACATCTTGCAGATGATTTAATTTTTAAACTTAAAATCAAAATAACCTTGTTAAATATGGTATTACCTTCGGATAAATTAGTTTTTTTTTTTTTTTTAAAGCTGAATTTTATTTCACCAACTACTCCAAGGTCAATCATATTTGATCAGTAATTGCTGGATAATTTTTAGTAGGCTAAAGGATCTGAAAAAGCAAAACATTGTGTATAAATAAATTCAAGGACGAATTCGGAACAAAGTCATCTACAGGGATGGAGGACAATTTTAAGATTCGAAAAAACCACAACCAGTGACTCATTGAGAAAACTTGAAGTGGTAATGAATTTTCTCAGAAATGGCCAGCCTGCCAAAAGTTCTTCACACAAAACAGAATATTAGCTCATTAGAAAATATTTCATAAACATTTAAAGCACTGTAGATCTCACTTACCTCAATTTAAGATGGTGTCCTTGATTCAAGAATAAAAAAAAGACAAAAAAAGGAAAGGAGAGATCCCTTTATAGTCCCACAGTGGGGAAATTTGTTCTCTGCGTTTAACCCGTCCCTAAGGGAGGAGTGTGCTGCCACACTGAGTAGCGCAAAGGGAGCAATTTCAGGTTAAGGGTCTTCCTGAGGCACCCAGAGGGACAGTTGAAGTTTTGAACCAGCAATCTGGTAGCCTCTCCTTTCCCTTTAACCACTAGGCCCCCAACACATTTCCATGGGAGCATTTCAGGACAAATACCATGATGAAAAGAACTAAAAGTCATGTCTTTCATTTGTTCCTGATCACCGGGACAGTACTCTATCTAGTGACTAGACAATAATAGACCATTTTGAAATAGTTCTGTAAAGTCTGGTGTGAAACAGCATTTTAGAAATAGAAGGAGGGAAGTGTGATGGTCTGGGGCTGCTTTGCTTCTTCAGGTCCTGCAAAATAAAAACAACAGAAGAGCCTTTAGGTTTACTCATTAGCAGTTGCTATAATGAGTTTTCATCCATTTGTGACCTTAGAGCCATGGTCTCAAACTCAGATCTGGAGGGCCAGATTTGAGTTTGCCTGACAATAAATAACTACTTCACTAGTTATGCTGATAAAGCTAATATTGGAGACAGGTTTTGAGACAGAGGTACCGGTACATCTAAATGTTGCAGGATACAGGCCCCCTTGAGAAATTGAGTTTAAGACCATTTCCTTGGAGACTGGCGATTTCAGTACAAACCTTAAGCTGTTTGCGATGACATCACATACCATTTAATAGGAGGCTCAAGCATCAAAACCTTTCAATTCTCAAAAAAAGTCTACATCAAAATTCCTCATGGACAATGTAAAAGGCTGGTTAACAGTTATAGTAAACTGTTTAAGGCAGTGATCCTACAAAAACCGGAGAGACCAGTTTTGCCTTCGGACCAAGTTGGTTTATAGTTTTTTTCTTTGTTCAGGTAAATTATAATGTTACAATCTTTTTTTTTTTTTTAGATTTATTCTATCGATCTTTGTCTATAATAAAAAAAAAAAAAGATAATTGTGAACATATACAATAAGTGTGCAAAAACTAATGTTATTCTAGTCATACCATTTCTAAGTTAGTTTGTCCTGTACACACTTATCACTGTGTGGTTGTTCTTGGCCACCAACAAATATTGCAACACTGCAATGAGTTGAAAGATGAAGTCTACAGGGTCATCAGGGCTGATGTACCCTCCATCTAGGAGGGCAGCTAACATCCATGCAGACCCCACGAATGCTGGACACAAACAGTTTAAACTTTCAGCTTTGGGATGGTGCTACAGAGCTGCTGTACAGACTGTGTATTTCCCCAGGCTGTCTTTTGGTTAGACAAACTGAACGCCTTAAAGTCTGAGCATTAAGCATATTCCACTATTATAACAACAAAAAAAGCAGCACAAATAAAAAGACAACATAAGAGTACATTTTTATACACATAATGTTCTTATTTTTCACCTGCTGTTAAAATATTTATCATAATGTCTAAATAGTATGACTATGTGAAACAGAAGTCAAACTCATTGTTTGTACACATGAAATTGGCCAGTAAAGCAGAAGCTTATCGTATATTTCATATTTCAAATTGTGCTTTAAATAATCTCCATTAAATAACAAACTTCCGCTTTGAGCAGCTATTGGGGATGATAAGATATCATTAAATCCCCCAAAAGAGCTGTACATTAGGCCTTTAAGCTGTAAATTACATACCAACCTTAGAGCAACAGCAGTTTCTGCCTATTTTCCTACAGTACTTGGGGCAGGTAAATGCCCCTTAACTAGACATGTACAGTGAATAAGCCAAACAAAATTTAAGGTAAAACTGACAGATTGCAGTTTACTTAGCGCTCACTAGAGAGTGTTGCCCTGGGCAATGAGCCATACAGTGTATATCACAAAACTATTGCTGCCCATCAGTCCACTCACATGCTCAATTCCTCCCTTCTTTGGTGTTTGGACTCTCTTGTACTGCTTTCTTCTTACTGCAGTCTCCTCCTATCGCTTCCATCTCATTTATGTCTCCCTCGGGAGATGGTGGTAATGTCCAAGAGGCCCATTTCTCTCCAGCAAGGACCAGACAGGTCCACTCCTTCTGAATAAAAAAAAGAGTAAGGGGGGGGGGATTGTAAAACATGTGTCATTACAGTGTCAAAACACCAAGCAAGCACAATGACTCCATCCTCCATCTTTCGCCTGTGATGTTTCGGAGGGAATTCATCCCCTAATTTATGGCTCATGAGATAAGCATCCCTGAACTGTTCTGGTGCGCTAAAGGCCCTGGCAATGACGAATATCTTACATGGGAGAGGCAGCTAATATGAATGCTAATACTGCCCCTGACATACAGTAAATCGACCCCGGATGTGAAACATATGCAGTTTAGGATAAAGTGTTTCATGTTTCCATTGCAGGGAGATTAACCTGCGATGGATATTATTGACATTTTGGCACCATGGAGCAAGACTGTGGGTAGAAGGGCATGTGGGTTGAAAGAAAATGCCTCTACACTATACTGTGTAAATAACAATAGCAGCTTCATTCTCCTCCTATACTTCTGAATCACAAGCAACCAACTATATGGACTGCTGGTTCCTTGAACCACAACAACAAGAATGCAATACTTCTGAAGCTTAGAAAAAGTAATCCCATAATTCTTTAAAAGGATTACAAATACTTTGGATCTCCACTTTTTTGTCAAGTTAAAACCATAAATAACAATTCATTTTACCCTGACATTTTAAGTAATATACCACCTCATAATGGCACATAGTTGCAAAGTAAAAGGGAAATATTTGCTTTCAAAATCATCTACAAATAAAAACTTGAATGTGTTGCATTTATTTCCATTCAGCCCCTAAATCAATGCTTTGAAGAACGAGCTTTTGTTGTCATAACGGAGTTTAGTCTTCAATATCTAGTGATTTTGGAGTGCTATCACATATTTCAAATGGGATGTAGGTCTGCTCTAATCATCCTAAACCATTCTAGGCACTGTATAAGGTTAGGATGGTTTCCTTGGCAGAAAGAGAACCTGAATCAAAGGTGTTTCGAATAAGTATGTAAGTAGTAAGTAGGTCAAGTAATTGAAAAGGTCATTTTTTTCCCTTAAAATTGTCTATTTTCCCTTTAATTAAGCAGATAAATAATATAATTTCCCCTTGAAATAAGAGGATTCACATTCAAAATAATAACAAAAATCAAAAAATTAAATTGCATAATGTTCAATTATCTGATTTCAAGGGCAGGAATAGTTAGTCTTAGTTAATCTAACAGATTGAATCTCTGTTAGATTCAATATTTAACAGAGATTCAATCTCTAGATTCAATCTCTAACAGAGATTGAATCTGTTAGTTCAATCTCTAATGCTATGGTCTCTCTGCTTTCTCTCATAGTAGCTTTGCCTCGTCTGTTCCTGTTTGGCTGTGACACCATCCTGGAGAAACATCAGCTGTGCTGCTTCCATCAACACCCTTGTTTATAGATGCTGGAGATTGGCCTGTTTTCCAGTGTAGTCCTGTTTCTCTAAACATGACTGGCTGGAGGTGTTCTCTTCATCCTCTGATATGGGAGTTATCTCAGAGCTCGTCTGCCTTCCTGTGTGTTTCCTGGATGGGGCCGCCTTTTGCAGCTGCTTTTTGTATATCTGCTTCTGTCTCCTTGAACCCCATTCGGCCTCGGCAGATGGCCGCTCACACTGAGCCTGGTTCTGCTGGAGGTTTCTTCCTCTTGAAAGGGAGTTTTTCCTCTCCACTGTTGCTACAAGCATGCTTATTGTGAGGGATTGCATTTGAGTCAATGAGTCGATGCAATCAACTGGTTTTCCTTAGAAAACTTTGAATCAATTTGACTGTATGATCTGGTTGAATTGTAAAGTGCCTTGAGATGACATGTGTTGTGAATTGGCGCTATATACATAAACTGAATTGAATTGAATTATTCCAGTGAAAAACTATCATAAAAACCTGCCCAAACTAAGGGCAAATGGAATGATTTTAAGAAATGGATGTTTATTTTTGGATCAGTTTCTTCTGTGCAGTAATATTCTGAACTGGTCTATTGTTTTAAGTCTTTACGAACCTTTGGTTGATGTTTTTCGCTACTTTTCTCTAAGAATCTCCCTTTGCAACATTATAGTGAAAGTAGTTAAAACACGGCTATAAAAATACTAAGATGTGGCTGCTAACCTTAACCGAGTGGATGAGCAAGGGGAATATCAATTAGGGAAACTGTCTGAATAACTGTGAAGGAGCAGCAGAGACCCAGACTTCAGGTGGGCAAATTTTCGAACATGGCAAGTTTAGCCACAAATCACGTGGATGACACAGCAGTCTTGTTGAATAGGTTTCCCACATCAAATAAGACCAAAATGTAACTTCTTAGAAACAAATCAGACTTGAAACAATCTGTTCCCATGATGAGATAGGATAGAGACATTATAATGGTCTGGGCCCATTTGTTTTTTTGTTTTTGTTTTTTTTACCAAAGACATGAGCTGTTCAGAGTGACTGGTAAAATGAAGTTAAGATGAGTACAGCTTTGGAGATAATCTGTTAAAGGTAAGAAGAGGCCTGAGATTGGCAAACAGGTTTACCTTCATGCAGAACAACAAGCTTAGACATATAACTAGAGCTTCAAAGGAATCGTTTAGATCAAAGCATATTCATGTGAAAAATACTGTATGTGTCTTCCCTATCTCCACGTTTAGAGTTTTTTTCCCTGCAAAGAGGTTTGATACCCCAACCTTGGGACTGAGGTTCATCATCCAGCAACACAACAATTAACAAATAGTCAGAAATCAAGAACTGAAAACTAAACAGGCCGAATACAATTAACAATCTCCAGAAAGACATTACAATATTCTGAGCAAATAGCTACTCTGTGCCGAAGACTCAGCAAAGATGTAGTGAAAATGTGGTAGAGATATACTGTATCTTGAAAGAGGTGCATAATTAATCGTGAAAAAAGAGTTCAACAAAGTACAGTATTAATTGAAGGAAGGACTTTGGTTGGAACAAAGTCAAAAGTCTTTGTAGAAAGACTTGAATTCATGTCTTAGAAGCAAAGAAAACAGGACATTTGTTTTTCTTAAATAACCCAATATAAAGAATA